TTTAAGAAATCCCAAATCGAATTACTTCGAATTGGATTCGGTTTTGGCTATAATCCAAACCGCAAATCGAAACTTTCACCTCTAACTACGCCCCGCCTCTGTCTCCACCCGCATCAAAACACACTCACACACAAAATTACCACCTTCTGCCCTTGTATCCAGCGCATAGCACCACCAGTCAAACTCTCCCTAACCGTCGTGGCTTAGTGGTTTGGGGGTAGTTTAGTGACTTACACATGAGTATTTAACCCTGGTTAGTAATTTTAGGTTAATTAGGTTAGAATTAGTAATATAATGCTATGTTAGAGAATAATTATATTACTAACATCATTTAAGAGAATTTGCAAAAAATTATGTTACCATTGAGAATGTGCAATTTTACATGGCTACCAATGAGAATTACCCAATATATTTTATTCATATAAAATTTATCAATATTCATATCTATATATTTGTGTTGTATATTTAATCAGTTGTTGATTGGTCGTATGTATATTATGTAATAGTTTTTTGACACAATGCTTAAATTAGCTTAGGAAATTGCATATAGTGGTGGGTAAGATATAAGGTTATTATTGTGTTTATAGATTTAGTGATACGATGAGCAAAACAAGTATTAGATTGAGCTACTGAAGCAGATGATATGACAAGAAAATAAAATAACATTACAAAAAAAAAAAAAAAAAAAAAAAAAAAAGAAATGCAAATGACATAAAATACTATTCAAATCACATTACTTAATTTTTTTATGTATCCACCATTATTGCGAATAAACAAAATTTTAATAATTAATTTGTTAGTGAAAATGAGCCCTTGGGTTTATTACTAATTGAATTATCTTTGGGTTTTTTTTTCTACGAGATTTATAATGCTTTTGTCAAGAAAATAATAATAACAATTTAATTTATAAATCGTGCATCGCACAGGCACTATGCTAGTTTGAGAATATTAGAAAAAGGGTGTTGATTTTTTTATTATTAGGATTTTTTGTCAGAATCTACCTAGTAAAACCCAGAATTTGTGAGAAACTACCTAATAAAAATAAAAATGTTGTAAGAAGCTACCTAATAAAAAGTAAAATGTTGTAAAAGACTACCTCTTGTTAGATTTCCTCCATTGACCAATTCTTTCGGCGTTGACCCGTCACAAATTCTTGAGGGTGGTTTCAGCTTGGAGGAGGTAGTTTTAAGAGGGTTGTGTAGGTTTTGGGGATGAGCGGGTGGTTTCCACTTTCCAGGGTGTTTTGTGATGGATCAACGTCGAAAAATTAAGTCAATGGTGGAAATCCGGCAATTGGTACTCTTTTACAACGTTTTACCTTTAAATTAGGTAGTTTCTTATAAATTTTTTTTATTAGATAGTTTCTCACAAATTCTTGATTTTAGTAGGTGGTTTTCGACAAAAAGTCATTATTATTATTATTATTATTATTATTATTATTATTATTATTATTATTATTATTATTATTATTATTATTTAGAGAGCCATAAGGGCGGGTGAATCGATCTTAGAATCCCCTAGAACCGGAAGTGAAGCTCTAACCACTTGAGTTTATCCCTCACTCTCTCAGAAAAAAGGGTGTTGATTTGACTAGAAAACAAAACGGTTTTATTATAAATTTTCAACTTACTAAGCTGTGTTTTACAAATGCTATAGTAATGGTATAAAACAAATCAATTAATCTCTAAAAAAAACACTAATCATAATATTCTACTACTCATAATTATTGAAAACTTTATGACTTATGGGGTTGATTCTATTTTAATTTTATTTTTATTTATTTATTTATTTTATTTTTTTTTGACAGAGTAGTGAGTCATAAAGAGTAAATTTGTATATAAGATTAGATCTCAAACCTTAAGTAAACCACCCTAGATATTTAGGTCTTGTTTGGCATCGTTTTTGGTTTCAGTATTCTGTTTTTAATAAATAAAAAAAAACAAAAAATAGGAAACAAGGAAAAAGATGTTACCACTTTTCTGTTTGTTTAATTTTGAAAATTATTATAATTTTAATAAGTGTGACTAATAAAACCAAGAATTTGTGAGAAACTACCTAATACAAGGTAAAATGTTGTAAGAAACTATCTAATAAAAGGTAAATGTTGTAAAATACTACCTCTACCGGATTTCCACCGTTGACCCACCTCAAAACAACACCCTAAAACCACTGCTTTCATCCCCAAAACCAACACAACCTACTTGAAATTGCCTCCACCATGCCAAAATCAACCTCCAACCCTAAAAAACACCACCTTTAACCCTAAAACCCACCACCCGAAAGCACAAAACAATGCTCACCAACTCGGAATATCATTTAACCACCACGAAAATAACCTTACACCTTGAAAGCCAACCCACATTGTGATTCGGGGTGTTTTGAGGTGGATTAATGCCGTAAAATTAGGTTAACGGTGGAAATTCGATTAAAGGTAGTATCTTACAACATTTTGCCTTTTGTTAGATAGTTTCTTACAACATTTTTTTTATTAGGTAGTTTCTCACAAAATTTAGGTTTTATTAGGTAGTTTCTAACAAAAAATCATTTATTATATGTTATATATCATATGATTTTGAAAAACAAAAAAACCAAAAAACAGAAGAAACCACAGCGATGCCAAACGAACCCTTAACTAGTTAAGTTATTATCTATACAAACTCATACTCGTATTTTCTACATTTTTTATTTGGTTGCAACGAATTTTGCCACTATTCACACATTTCACTTTAACTCTCTTTAAACGATTTACAATTTAGGAAAAAATATGTTGTATTCCTATGGGGTCTTGTTTGACCCGTCTCAATTTTTATTTTCATGATATTAATTTTTATAATTTTTACGTATTTATAATTAGAGATATAAATAATTTTCCTCAAAAAATAATTATTACTCCGTAATAATCTAATATCATATTACTAATAAATAAAGCCGGTCTCGTAGCCATGCCACGAGAGAGCGACACTTGACATTCCAGTTTTTTTGCCAAGTTTGCGCCACGTAGGCGACAAACAGGTATTATTGTGACACATATGATACTAAGTTAAACGAATTTTGGATAGTTTTGTTAAGAATAAAAATATTGTATAGAGTTTTAATACCATTGTATTTCTAATATTTCATATACACAAAATTAATTCTAACTTTTAATAAATATCCTTTAACTCGGTTCTATTTCCATCATAAAATCCGTTTCAAAAAGTTCTTAAAATAAGATCCATTTATAATATATTTAATTTAGTTAAAATAAAATAGAAAAATCAGTAAATAAAAAAATGTTTAATCAGTAAAAAATAATTTTGGTTTGATAAAAAATATTTTCAGTTTAGTAAAATTAATTTAAGTTCAATAGCAATAATTTCAAGTCAATAATAACATAGATATCTATTTACAAACAAAACTACAAAAAGTAACATTATTATATAAATAAGCAATAGGATATCGTATGTCTAAATATCCCTGCATTATCAAAAGGGATTACATGACCGTATTAATAAACATTCAAGCTAAAAAGTTTATTCTAATTAAAATTTAATCAACAATCCGGGCATTGCCAGAGCACAAAACCAGTATATATATAAAAGGAAGTTTTTTTCCCGAGTTTTTAGAGAGACACGTAGGATTAAATTTTCTTAACGCGCCACATAGGATTATAAATTTTAGTTATAGTCAATCAAATAAGAGAATTGTAAAATTCTGTTAGAATTAAATAATTCAAATGCCAAATAAAGCAAAATTAGCGAATGAGATTTTATTGTTTAAATTAATTAAATATATCATATTATCGTTTGAGATTAGGAATTTTATCTAAATAATAAAAACGAATGAGAGGAAATTTAAAATTTATATTAAAATAAAAATATTAAATGATATACTACGCACAACAAATAAAATAACGAATTTAATCATATAAATACAAATAATATTCGTTTCAAAAAATACAAATAAACTGTACATTCATCTAGTTAGAAATGTGTATAAATGAAATTATGCATTGACAAATGTAAAATTATGCGTTAAAAATCATGTATTGCAACTAATACAAAAGATGAATTTTTCGATATCCTCAAGAGATTAACTTCATACATATCATGGGATAAGAGATTATTATACTCATAATATCACCACATTAATTTAGATAGAAATTAAGAATATGTTACAAAATATAATAATTGTGTATGCCCATTATAGCTTGTGACTCCCTCAATAATATGACTACCTTTGTAACTGCCTTTGTAACCCCCATATGTCATTAGTTCACGTTGTAACCCCTACATGAATGGACTCTTTATTGTCCATATAGGTTACATTGTTCACATTGTGTATATATATAGATGGTCTAATGAAATGGATGAAGACAATAACAAGGATTTACCATTTACATCTATCTATTATATTCTCCCTTTCCCCTTATTTTTATAACACGTTATCAGCACCATACTCTAATCGAAGCTATTACATTGGTCAGACCGGTCATACTCCGTAAGTATACTAGCTACCAAAGACTAAAGTCAATGTTACGAGCCTCTCTTTTATTCAAAGCATTAGTGTAGTATTGATTGGATATTGTGGTTTGCTTCTGACATGTATCGTATGATGCTAGATTGCTAGGGATTGTTTTAAATCATGATGTCATTATCTTTGATAAAGTTTTTAGATTATTAGCTTTAAATATGTCAGTAGTGAAGTGTTTACTTCTTGTTTTACCACCATATAGGAATTAACGACTATTTTTCATGACTTTGGGTGTCTAAGTATTTAATATTCGATTCATGACTATTTTCTTTTCTAATGATTCGGATTATATGATTTTAGTGTTATATAGTTTGACGACTATTTTGCTTAAACTACTAAAATGTCTTGTAAATTTGTTAAGAATGGTTTAATTCATGATAGCCCCTTCATATGTAATTAAATCATTAACAGTAGTATTATTGTTTTCCAAATAGTATATGTTTATTGGATGCTGTTTAATCTTGTCTTGTATTTTGTATAGAGAAATAATGTCAAACCTTGCCAAGCTTGAATTTATAGCCCTTGATATTGCCGGAAAGAATTATTTATCATGGGTGTTAGATGCTGAAATACACCTAGATGCTAAAGGGCTTGGTGAAACAATCAAAGAGCCTAATAAGACAACATCTCAAGATAAGGCTAAAGCCATGATATTCCTTCTCCATCATCTACATGAAGGGCTCAAAAATAAATATTTAACTGTGAAAGACCCACAAATTCTTTGGAGTAATCTAAAGGAGAGGTATGACCACCAAAAAACAGTGATACTCCCTAAATCTCGTTATGATTGGTTGAATTTGAGATTGCAATATTTTAAATCTATTAGTGAATATAACTCAGCTATGTTCAAGATAACTTCCCAATTGAAATTATGTGGAGAAAATATTACTGATGTAGAAATGCTTGAAAAGACATACTCCACTTTTCATGCAAACAATGTTGTCCTGCAGACACAATATAGAAAAAGGATTAACCAAATATTCTGAATTAAAATCTTGCCTTCTTGTGGCTAAGCAAAATAACGAGCTATTAATGAAAAATCATGAATTACGTCCTGTTGGCTCTACTCCATTCCCTGAAGCGAATGTGACAACCCATCACGGGAAAGAAAATATAAACAGAGACCATTCCAGCAGTAGTGGTCGAGGTAGAGGTCGCGGTCGCGGTCGTGGCCAATGGCGCGGTTGTGGTCGTGGGCATGGATATGGTAGAGGTCGTGGATTTCACTTTAAAAACTCACATTCTCACCAAAAGTGGGAACGTAGGGATGATAAAGTTAATAAAGAGAGAAGTGGGACTGATATATGTTACCGTTGTGGAGTGAAAGGACATTGGTCTCGGGTTTGTAGAACTCCAAAGCATCTTGTTGAACTTTACTAAGAATCATTGAAAAAAGGAAAGAAAGTTGAGGCAAACCTTGTTCTTGAAGATGGTAATGATGATTTTGATTTTGGCAATACAACTCATTTAGAAGTTGCCGATTTTCTTATTTCTCCGAAAGAGAATAATATTGATTTTGGCAATACAACTCATTTAGAAGTTGCTGATTTCTTCACTACTCCATAAGGGAATAATTAAAATTATATCGAATTGTATGAACTTTGAGTATTAGACTTAATCTAGTGATTTACTTATGTTAATTTCTATGGTTGTAATAAGGACATTATATGCTTTATGAATTTATGAACTATTTGCGTGTTTTTATTGATTTATTATTTTATTATCATTAATTTTATGCTTAATTTTCTACATGTATTTTATTTCGTGGAGAACATGAATACTACTCAAGTTCAATTTACTATGAATGGTGAAAAATTATGTCTTGCTGACAGTGCAACTACTCATACAATACTTAAAAATAAAAAATATTTTTCTCATTTGATGATGAAAAGAATTAATGTGAGTACCATATCGGGTAGTACAAAGATCATTGAAGGCTTCGGAAGAGCCAACATAAAATTGCCTTAGGGAACTAAAATTAAAATAATTGATGCATTATACTCCCCGTTGTCTCAAAGAAATTTATTGAGTTTTAAGGATATTCGCAATAATGGTTATCATATTGAGACATTAAGTGAAGAAAATAATGAATTTCTTCAAATCACGACTGTAACTCAAGGCACAAAACATGTTTTGGAGAAACTACCTACATTCTCCACTGGTTTGTACTACAAAAATCAATAATACTATTGAATCTCATGCTATATTAAACCTGAAGTTTACTGATAACTTTGTTGTTTGGCATGACCGGTTAGGCCATCCTGGTTCAATAATGATGCGAAAAATAATTGAGAATTCAAGTGGACATTCTTTGAAAAGCCAGCAGATTTTTCATAATAAATTTCCATGTGCTGCTTGTTCGAAAGGCAAGTTGATAATTCGCCCATCACTAGAAAAGATAAATTTTGAATCAATACGTTTTATGGAACGTATACAAGGAGATATTTGTGGACCCATACAACCCCCATGTGGACCATTTAGATATTTTATGGTTTTAATTGATGCATCGACTAGGTGGTCACATGTGTCATTATTATCAACTCGTAACTTGGCGTTTGCGAGATTACTTGCCCAATTGATTAAGTTACAGGCACATTTTCCAGATACTCCTATTAAGACTATTCGTCTTGATAATGCTGGGGAATTTACTTCTCAAGCTTTCAATGATTATTGCATGTCCATTGGGATAAAAGTTGAACATCCTGTAGCACATGTTCATACACAAAATGGTTTGGCAGAGTCATTAATTAAACGTCTTCAGTTAATTACTAGACCTTTGCTTATGAAATCCAATCTCCCAATTTTTGCACGGGGACATGCCATATTACATGCAGTAGAACTAATTCGCATCAGGCCAACAAGTTATCACAAGTTCTCCCCATTACAATTGGTTTATGGCCAGGAACCAAATATTTCCCATCTAAGAATTTTTGGATGTGCGGTTTATGTCCCAATAGCTCCACCACAACGCTCTAAGATGGGTCCTCAAAGGAGGTTGGGGATATATGTTGGATTTGAATCCCCATCAATAATTAAATATCTTGAGTCTACAACAGGGGATTTATTTACGGCTCGTTTTGTAGATTGTCATTTTAACGAGTCACTTTTCCCAACATTAGGGGGAGAAAAAAGAGAGTTGGAAAACAAAATTAAATGGAATGAATTATCATTATCCTATCTTGATCCTCGAACT